ATCGTGTGCCAACCCTTTGAATTTGTCAACTTGATACTTGCTATCATATCTCATGAAGCCCCTAGATCTCTGAAAGTCTGCTTAATCTCTGCTTCAGCGAATTATTGAGGGTGTTCCTGGGTCATTGTATAAAAATGTCTAAAATCTGCATCACTTTACAAGCCGTTCCTCCATGGTTTTACCTAGTCTAAGATGGGTTTCGTAACCCTGAAACTGGCGCTCTCCCATACCTGGGTCTCCTGCCCTTTCCGCTGACCATCATGCCTATCACACACCTTGAGAGACGCGATACCGATACGATAGCAATCGTGGCGGGCGGCGTCACGATTAACACCCAGTCGTACGCCAATGGTGGCGGTAAGCCTCAAGCCATTAAGAATGGCCAGATCTTTCAAGGTCGCATCCAGGGTGGTTCAACTCGCGACCAGATATTTGGTACACAGTGGGCTCTTTCTTTTTTGTGCTCTTCTCAGATCTCAACGCTTCTTCAGTGATTACGGCAGTGGGTACCCCAATGGCGGAATATTGCGGGGTACCAATGGCCGCGGGTTTCCTTTCTACTTTTGGCCTGTAGCATGGACGAACCCTTTTACCATTCACAACGGGGATGCCTATCTTCATCCACTCGAGGTAACGTATCGCTGTATTAACTTCTGCAAGCTCTAAGGATTTCCTTTCAGTATGGCCTCCCAGACAATATTACACGCCCAGGCGGCCCGCTCGCCACCCTGACCTACATCTCAAACATGCCCGGTGGTTCGACGTTCCGCATCTTGACTGATTGGAGCTCTGCAGCCCTCCTCATTTCATCCCTCGGCGTATGTTCCCCCTTCGTCAATCTTTCCTCCCCAATCCCTTCCCCTTACCTTCAGTATGCTGTCACTCCACTCCCAGAGCAGACGATCCAGTATTACCGCGCATCAAGCGTCGCTCTCACCCTCGACGGATACAACAACACCGCCGCCCTCGTCCCTCAGACGCCTGACGATGCATATAATGTGCTTCTGCCAGGAAATACTGATATAGAACTCATGGAATGCCTCAACGCCACCATAGGCAGCTCTGTCATTCTCTACAACCCACGGAAGGGTCTTAGCACTGGTTCTATTATCCTCATCACGCTCCCTTCCATCGTGCTTGCCTTCCTCTTATTATATATTTGCACCTCTTATATAGAGCACCGCAAGATGCGTGTATCCTCTCGCCGTCCACAACCACGCCAAGGTGCACTGGGGTCGCCTTCGCTTCCGTGCACAATACAGGCGCCCCTTCCTCAGCCGCCCAGTGCTGTCGTAGTCATGCCTGTGAATGGGGAGTTATCTTCAGGCAAGGCTGGAGAGTTATGGTACGAAGAGCACGATTCAGCGTCCCTCACGAAGAATGCGCAGGGCTTTGCAGGCGTAGAGGCCGACTCGGACCCACCGAACGTTAATTATGATAGGGCTTCGAGTCAGACTCCCTCGTGGTGGGTGCAATTTGGAGGCAGAAGCAATAAAGGCTTCGAGAATATTGAAATGGGCGGCAAACGGTAATGCGATTGCGGAGGGGAAAGGATTTTTAACAGTGTATGAAAGAACACTATTGATCTGACTATGTACTGGAAAGAATGTATGATGTTCAACTTGTAATTTGGGCTCAGAGGCTTCTCAGAACCAGCTCAGAACCTTGCATCTTGGTCCTGAAAATCGGGGTGTTTTCATTTTGCGCACCGCGACTACAGCAAGCTGTTTCAGTGGCATTTCTCATAACATAGATATACCGATCCGCTAGCTAGAGTACATGATCCTGGAGATGCCCATCAGATCTGGGTATAATATATGGGGCTGAACAGTGTATAGTACAGAGGGATAGTTGCATATAGTATACAAAATGAACATGATAATAACGAGTGAATTGTGACCATGCAAATATAGCTGTAGAAATGCGTGTAGATATGGCAGATGAAGAGACAATCTCACAGGCCGTCTCATGATGTTAGTACAACAGCATAGAAAGGATTTCGTTATAGTGGTTTGAAGGCAATGAAACCTCGCATCGAGCGACAGATATCCAGCGTGTCGTTATGGGGTATGATAGGATTAGGCTTTTTATCGTCGATGGCTTGCACCTTTTTGCGCCAGACGTGCCACTCTGGTTCCTGCCCTGGTGGCTCGGGCCAATTTAGTTGTGACATAAGATTACGCATTCCGATGCGGTCCGTCATATCACTGTGTTACAGAAACCCTGGTTAGAACGAGCCCAATGCGAAGACGCTTTTCGATTAACTCACTTGTGCCAAGATTCCCATTCGTCGTCGAACGATTCCCGGATGGCTGATTTGAGATTCCTGGGCGTAGAATGTGCGGTATACCCCGACGGCGAAGCGGCGCTCGGGGACACAACTTTCGTGACGTTGAAATCGTAAAGCTTCTTGTACTCTTGCCAGATAGCCTCTTTGCAGCCCAAGACCGTATGCACCGTATTTGCTAGATGCATCTGCGCGAATTCCGTAGTATATGGGTCTAATGAATCACCAGATGATGTCCGAGATAGACTTGACGGTGCTGCTGATTTGGCTGACCACGCGGAAGATGTCCGCGAGAGTGGCGGGGCTTTACGCGAACTAGTGAACGTCGTGGCAGTAAAGAAGGACTCGGTGGATGATCGTTTCAGAACTGCACGTCGCTCGGATGAATTAAAAGGAGAGTTCGGCGGAAGGAGGACTTTGACCGGTGGCAGGCTCTGGACGTCGACGAAAGTTGATGAAAGGTAAAATGGTAGAACAGTAAGGGCATTCTCCGCGATAAACCGGGAAGCGAGCATTGCGTTCCACGCGACCTTGAGTCGTGAATGATCTCGGAGGTCTGGGGTACGGTTTTTGTCGCTTTCCTCCGGTTCGTTTTCCGTAGAGGGCTTTCTGGAATGGTTGGGAGGCAAAGATGGATTTGTGGCAGGATAGGAAGGAGCATTTGGAAATGGTTGGGTGAAGTTTAGAGTCACGGGCAAGGCGTAAGCAGATATCGGCGTATTGGCCTCATAATGACCCTCCAACGAAGAAGTGGAAAATCCGATGGCCGAGCTTTTTCTTAAGCAGATATCGGCGTATTGGCCTCATAATGACCCTCCAACGAAGAAGTGGAAAATCCGATGGCCGAGCTTTTTCTTGAAGGATAGGAGGAAGGCGGTGGAAGCGGTTGGCTCAAGCTGAAAGTAGGTAATGTGTATGTTGATATCGGCGTATTGGCCTCATAATGACCCTCCGACGAAGAAGTGGAAAATCCGATGGCCGAGCTTTTTCTTCGTAGAAGCGGTTGGCTCAAGCTGGAAGTAGGTAATGTGTATGTAGATATCGGCGTAGTGGCCTCATATTGGCCCTCCAACGAGGGTTTACGGTGACCGTACAACGAAGGGTTAGACAATACGGTCACCGAACTTTTTCTTGAAGGAGGTGGTGAAAATGTACGGGTAAAGTTGGAAGCAGGCGAGATGTATTCAGATATTGGCGTATTGACCTCATATTGACCCTCCCACGAAGGACTAGACAATATGGTCGCCGAGCTTTTTCTTGAAAGGATTTGTTTCTGGGGTATAATCAATGGCGGGGGATGATCGACAATCTGTTTGGGTCGCCAAGCACAGGGAAAGATTGGATCTTCCTCAATCACCTGAACGAATAATTAATCACCGTTGATGATATTGCCGATGAAGTTTTTTGTGGAAAAAAAATTGACTTTATGCTTACTTACCTCGATGACACCACCGGGCTTCATGACGCGTGTAATTTCCTGAACCAGACATTAATCTCTCAAATGGATTAGCAGAGGTTGTTACGCATACCTCGAAGACGAACTGCCACTAGAATATGATGAGCCTGATGAGTTCACGGTTCGAAGCCCAATGTGTGATGATCGCTCACCTCATCCTCGGGTACACCGAGACCAATGTTTACCACACGAACAAAGTCAAAGTGATCAGAGCGGAAAGGCAGACCGTCAAGCCTAGACGAAGTCGGTTAACACACATGTAGTCTTCCGATTAGAAGAGGCATACAGGTTGCCGTGAACCCATTTCACGCGGTTAGCGATGTCATGGTGGTGCTTCAATACTCGAGTATAATGAAGCTGTGGCTGTACGTCCTTGATATCGAAACCAACCACAATGCTGTTCTGACATTGCCGGCGGAGGTGAGTTAAGGAAGCGAAATGCCATTCAGATGACCAACCTTCCATTTCTTGGCCGCCTCGATGGCCCAATAACCGGTGCCGCATCCCAAGTCAAGAACCATCCCTGGGGGCGTTTGAAAGTCGTGCAAGGTTAGATTCTCGAATCGCGACCTGTACATGTTATTCCAAATATCACTGAGGCAATATTTCAACGAGGGTTGAGCATAAGATAAACAGACGTGACGTACAAGACAGAACAAGATGCATCAACATGCTCTAGCGGGTAGGGCACTTCTCCAGGTCTTCGTCGAAAATTACGCGATTTGAGAAGAGCATGCTCGACATTGATACTAGGACCATTGTGAGGCATTGTTGTGCGCCTTCGAGGGTGCCTAAGGATGGAAGAGAAGAGATGAGGACGGCGAGTAGGTTGCCGAGAGCGATGGGTATATAAGAGACCCATTGCACCGAATTTGTAGATATTGAATTTTCTTTCTTTTTTGACGTAGGCCCGTACATTTCGCAACTTTTGAGGGTCAAGCTGTGCACGTGATCGTTATTCTTGATATACGTCATTCATTGTCTGCTTTATTGTTCCTGGTCAGTTCTTGAAGAAAAAAATCCTTGAATGAACAAGTGGAAAACACGATCTTTGAATGTTCCTAGAAAGCCTCTCAACATGCATTGTATCCTCAAAAGATATTCAATTTCAAAGAACTATGCAACAAGTGGCTGTACACATCAAATTACGGCGACCTTACGTAAGACGCGGGCAACTCGTTCAAAAAATTTGTCAAGTTGCTTGTGAGAAAAACTTGGAGATGGTGATGTCGGGATTCCAAGGTGATGAGAAGAACATAGCAGCAAGTCGTTTCGATCGACTGACCTCAGGGTAACCATGTTATGGGCCCTGCGCGCTTCCAGCTGCGCCATGCTGCTGTGCGAACGGCGTATGAACAAATAGTATCATCATACAGAGCCTATTCATCAGCAATACCCCCATTCGTCAAGCACCCCAGCGTCAACTGCAACTTGAATTTGAGGCAAGTAATGCGAGATCGGCAGTGTAAAGTACCACAAAATGGACCCGCGCTCTTGTAGGTCCTCAGAAGCGACAAAGGAGTGTTAAGAAGGCACGTGTATGTAAGAGGGCGTGAACAGACTCCCATCATCAACACAAGATGAAGTCTGCAGGGGTCAGCCAAACTTATCTCTTACCTATCACGAACGGTCAAGGTTCTTCTAGCGTACAGCCCTACTTTGATACCGAGAGGCAGCAGAACGCGGTTGTGTTTCCGTCCTCTGAACCTCAAATGACGTCTGTGAACAACAGCCAAACTCTTCAACAGCGACCACCACTCCAAAATCACGGTCATTCCCGCACTTCCTCATTCTTTTCTTTTCGTAACAAGGCCTCCGTCTTATCTCAATCGACTGTTCATCAGCGAAGCATGTCGATGGGAAACGGCAATGGCACTCATGTCGAGGAGCTAGGACGCCTTTCAGGATCGTCATCGCAACAGCAGGGCTTGGATAAAAATTCAGCTCTATCTGGTGGTTCTGTGTCTGCAAAATCCATTCAAGGCAACCCTAATCAACCTCAGTCTCAACCTCAACAACCTCAACCTCAAGCTGCGCCGCTTGCACTCCACCCCGAAATCCGCTCAGTTGTTCAACTAACTTCTTCCCATGCCCGCAAGGTCTATTTTTCTGGGCCTCTTGTTCGCCGATTGGAACGACGCTCCGCGGATGGACAACATCACGATGAGGTTTGGTTTGATGTATGGGCGCAGTTGGGTGGGACTACTCTTAGCATTTGGGACATGGCCCAGGTTCAGGAGGCTAGCAGACAGGGAAAAGAAGTCCCTCCTACCTACGTAAACACAACTGATGCTGTGAGTTTCGATATATCTTATGTCCATTTGGTTTCCTACTCAATGCCTTTCGTCATTTTCAGTTCGTGCAAGTATTGGGTTCTGTGACGACGCCGCAGACCTCCACCAGCCTAGCAAAGAAATACTCGAACGTTCTGGCTCTCAATACTGCGGGATCAAACGTGCTCTTGTTTTCATGCCCAGATCCGCACTCGTTGAAAGCATGGGCGTCGTCCCTACGACTCGCTGCCTGGGAAAAATCGCGTCTGGAAGAGATCTATACTGCCCATTTAATTCGCATAATGTTGAAACGTGAATACCCTCCCATTTTGTAAATGTGCTACATCTGTTAATAATTTCTCGTAGAGGCCGATCTGCTTTCAACACTTGTGCGTGGGCGTTTAGAGGGTTGGGTTCGAATTCGTATTGCGGGCCAGACGGACTGGAAGCGGCTCTGGATGATCATCAGTGCTGGATCGGAGAGTGTGCATTCAGAGCGCTCAGCTCCCGGTGTTGGAGGCATCGGTGGCGTTCCCACTCCCAATCAATCCCTTCCAAGGAAGAAACGAATTTCCAACATATTCTCGCGTGAAAATGCCCCCGCTTTACCGCCGAAACCCATTGTTTCTTTGTATGCTTCTCAACGGCCCAAAGATCTCAAAAAACCTCTCCTGACTTTCAAAGATGTTTCACAAGCATTTGCGGTATATCCAGAACGACCTGAATTGATCAGTCGCAGCACTTTGATTAAGCTGGAAGGCAAATTTGGGGAAGAGGAATTGGCAGCAGGGATGAAGGCTCGCGAAGGGTGGATGCTGGTCATGCCTGAACTTGAGCCAAGTATGGGGCAGGCAGAAGGAATGATGAAGTGGATAGTGGGTGAGTACTATGTTGGCCGTATACGAAGAAACTCTCCTAAAACACACCTTTGCTAGCCTTCCACGATGCATTTGAAATGTACGGTCGTCCAGAGGCCTGGACTTGGGATCCTCGTGATCCTGTCTCTCTCATGTTTGCATACCCAGTTGGACCTAACAAAAACGTATGTAGCTTATGGTTTACCTTTCTCCGACTCGTCTAATGCAATAAACTTAGCTTTTGTTTTTGGATCGTGAAACGGCGGAGCTGCTTGAGCCCCGTGACGAATCCACATCGTCTATTCGATCGCGTTTGATTGGCTTCCTCCTCGACCGTATGCGTGGTGTTGAGCCAAGAATTCCCGCAGCCCCCAGCCCGCCTTCCGTAGCTGATAACGCCCTTCCTTCCTCAACTACAGCTGCACAGCCAGCTTCTTCAACTGCGGCCAGCAATGGATTCCAGTTGCCTCCACTAAGCTTTGGGAATTCGACTATACCTGAAGAGGAGAAACCTTTATCACCAGTGAGAAGGCAAACCAACGATGACAGCAAGACCACGTACTTTTCGTCGCAACAAACATCTTCTTCACAAACCAGACCGATAGGGCAGGCGACATCGTCGATGACCCATGAAACAAATATATTCAATCGGCCTTTAACAACCAGTCCGGCCCCTGCTAGCCCACCACCACAATCTGTTTCTGGCGCAGAACCTTCGGTGCGCTCTCCTTCGGCCCAGAACTCTGTCATCGGTGCTGGATCCGGGCGACGTAGTACCGATACACCAAGCGTTGATAGGGCGTTCTCAGTTTCAAGGGTTGATTCGGTTGGTTCCTCCGCTTCGGCAGCAAGATCTGAAAGCAGGCCACCCACTGCCGCCGGCAATACTGCTCCCTCTATATCCCAGCTTTTATCCTCGGGAGAAGGATCAATTAACTCATCCGCCGCCCCTCTCCATTCACCGCCTTCATATGCTGTCAGTTCAGCTTCCGTCTCCCCGCCTCCGCCTGCATCCGATCCATCTACCAATGCTGCTTTCAAGAGAACTGTATCGGTGCTCACATCCCCACACTCAGCTTTAGGTCATGATGATGAACCGAATTCAAGCCCTGTTCTCCAGGACCACATTTCAATCCTTACATCACCTCATTCGATTTCAGATGCACCTCCCATCCTGACATCGCCGTATTCCCCACGCGGAACGATACGAAGCCTCGATGGCCGCAATTCCATAGATCGGTCTTCGTTGTCTGGACCTCCTATTACCAACACGAAATCCGAAGATAGCGGTAATCTCCTCAGCGAGGCTGGTGCCCTTTATTATATGCAGCAAACCGCCGATTCTTCTGGACGTCGTGTACCAACGACGATCGATGAGCAGGCCGATTCCGAAGCCGAGGACGACTCCTCTTCCCACCATGTTTCATCGTCCCAGCATTCGGCGCGCCTAGGGGCTGTTAGCCCCGCTTCTAACGATTCAACTCATAGCAGGAACCAGCCAGTCCGTCAAAGTACCCCGATGGCTTTCTTTGAAAGGTCGTCGCCAATCTTGAATCAAAGTGTCCCGGCTATTAGTTCGGCTGATCACTTAAGTCCATCACGACAGGTGCTTGGACGTAAGCCATCAGGGGCGCGTGCACAACCGACAGCTCACCCTTACCATCTGGCTGACAACCTTCTTTCCGAACAAGTCGTTGAGGACGAGGAAGCTCCTAGCGAGGACCATTACGAGACTCCAGTGCAGGAAAAGATGAATCAACTACAGGCCCAGCCGTCTGCTTCGTCAGAGGCTGACCTGGATGCTTTAGCCGCATTGTCTTACCTCGCGGTGGATGACAAGCCTGCCTCGCCACCACAAGCCACCGTCGAGCCGTTGCATATTCAGAAGACTCCTTCTCCCCCTCCTATTGTCGCTGAACCTTCATCACAATTCAGATCGTCATTCGCTCCTTCTAAGCAAGCTACCGAAAGGAAAGCCAAAGCCCAAGCACAGCAGGCTGCTCACCAGATTGCCGCACAGAGACCAGGGCGGGCTAATGGGACTGGAAAACGAATGTCGAAGGTGGCCGGTGCATGGAATGAGAGTAGCGAAGAGGAGGAGGAGGATGACGAGGAAGAGGATGACGATGATGCAGATTCCGATGCAGAACCATCCTTGGCGAATAAGCAAAATCCTGCCTCCACTTCATCGTCTACATCTCTTCAACAACGGCAACAGTTACCTGGCGAGCAAATCGGAGAACAACCACAACAGTATTCCCATCTGCGGCCTCCTCGATCCTTACCTCAGGTTCCTGGCCATAACCTTCGTAAGCTGCTATCATCTGATAATTTGCTCTTATTCAAATGTGCTCTTTACTATTTCCTTAGATGAAGAATACAACCCTCCTCCTCGACGCATGGTACCTGACCAATACTCGGCTGCCGGAGGTCCGCCACCGCGAATGCTACAGGACGGTACGCAAATCCGAACACAAGCCGACTTCCCTCAACCTGGTGCCGCTCGTCAAACCGTCTGGAGCCAAGTTCTTGACCCCGGCCGTACAGCTAACGTTACAACCGAGGCTCCTCGCAACAATGATACCTTTGTTCAGCTAGAGCCGTCAGAGACCATGACCAAGGCGTTCACCCCTCAGGGACTTCTCTCGGCTGGCATGCAGGATAAACAGGACCGATCAGCTAAACGCCAGGAAGAACTTGCTCGTGAAACTGGTGCATCGCTCATAAACGTCCCCAACAAGCCCCCGCCCCCGCAGATGGGTCTTCTTGGTGCAATCACCGCACATGAACGAGAGAGAAAACGCGAAGGAGGCGTTGGTGCCGCTCTGACGGAGCGCGAAAGAGAGAAGCGTATGGCTGAGGATAGACAACGTCGTTTCGACGAGCACCAACGGCAACAACTTGACCAGATGCAGCAAGGTGGATCGATGTATGGTGGCCAATTCCCTGCCTACGGCATGAACCCCATGATGATGATGAACCCCATGATGGGTATGAATCCCATGATGACGGGAGGTGGTATGAACCCTATGATGACGGGCGGGATGGCACCTATGATGACGGGACAAATGGGATTCCCGGGCATGATGCCTGGCTTCAATCCTCAGCAGTTTTTCGCTGCTCAGCAAGCCGCTCAGGCATACCAACAGGCGATGATGGCGTTCTCTGTAGCTGGATCTCAAGTTGGTGGTGATGCCGCAGGTGGGGC